ACTGAACAAGTGCTAACATTCCAAGCATACCCAATAATATACACGCTCAAGCCATATCCAAGACATCACGTCGTCCAACGCCATACCAAACAATAATCATATCCATCAGTCCTAATCCATCTACATATTCTCCCGACGACGGCGCTCAATGGCTGCCTCAAACGATCGGATCGTGTCTAATGGTCGCTCGAATCGGTATCGGGTAGGGTTTGACAGGTCGGGTTCGGCTGCATCATTGTTAGTGTGGTCACAGTCTTCATGGAAGTAGTACCTACTGATCACTTTGCCCTCGCGGTCGCGATGCTGAATCGAGCGTAGGGAGAACCCGTTATTCGAACCAACGCTGTAGACTGTGCTTGTTAGTGGGAGTCCGCGTCGAGCTAGAATTGCACGTACCAGCCTCTTCGCCCCTCAGGGCTTGGTTCGGGTCCGCTTTGCTAGACAGAGAGCTCTTCCCAGCCGAGTGGCCCGTCTCGGGCCGATCATGGGCGACATCAGCAGCAGACATGGTTGTGTAGTGTGTAGTGTGTGTGGTGTGGTGGGTAGGATGAAGGCAGAATCTTGGCCAAGCAGGAACCACGGTTAGATATAAATGGGTGGTGCCGGATGTCTAGGAAGCAGGAAGCAGGAACAAGGAGTTGGAAGCAGCCGGCTATAAATGGACACCTGCAGTCAGCATGATTGACTTTTTCTTTGGTAGCCGAGCTGCAGTATCACGCAAGACGGGCCAATGATGGCCATCAATGGTGAGTCTTTGTTGCTTCGAGCCGGTTCTGTGACGCGGCCGTCCGGGGGGTCCGTGACGTTGCCGGCCCTCTTTTCGGGAAAGTGGCCGTCGCCATTGGCCGGTGGTTGCCAAGCTTCCGCTACTGCACAAAACCCAAAGGCTTATCCGGGGTTGCCACCAATGGTAAGGCGTCGCCCCTGGCCGCAAAAAAGATGGGCCGCGCAAGCCCGGGGCTGAGGCCGTGGCAATTGCTGGTCTAGGCAACCATATTCGATTGGCAGGTATTTTTATCGCGACGCTCCACGGATTGGTCAGGGCTGATTTGGTCAGGGTCTGATCAGATGGTCTGGATCTGCCACTCATACCAAGTTTGGAAAGGTTTCATTTGATGTCTGAATGTGTCTCTCCACTTCTCCATCCGTCTGGCCATCGTTCCCCAAACTAGACACGGGACGGTGGGATTGCTCATAGCCACCCGTCATGGTGACATCTGAAACGCGGTCGCGTGCCGATCGAATGGGGATCTCTGCCGCGCACCACACCACGAACGACGGGGACGAGGCAGTGCTCCGCTATGACCCGTGTTGGCAGAAAGAGTAACCGTTGCATGTTTCATTTCTTATGAAAATCATGACGAATTGATATCGTCAGCATGATATTGGCCATCTGACTCATCCACACCAGCAGTGTCCATCGGAGGATTCGCCCCAGTCTCAAATATACTACGGAGTATGTAGGATGGGTATAGAATATTCCGCCTGAATCCACAGTAGGCACAGAAATCAAAACAGGTGGATGAGTATTCAGGTACGCCTTCAATTGACAGATTGTGTGGGGATGTCTCAGGCACACACGAGGGAAAGAATACTTCCGTGTGAGTATGCAGGGGAATTATGCAGGAATGTCGATCACAAGGAGATTATGAACTTGCTTGCCCTGCATAAGACTTGCGAATAACCTCGCATGAAGCAGATATCGTAATCTGACAATATACTCTGTGGTCTATTCCACCGTCCACATCCACGTCACGAGCCAGGTGTTCAACGCAATAGCTGCTCGGTGGGGCCATCGGGATTAAGTCGTCGCATGGTCGGAAATGATTTCCACATCAGGGAACGTGTAGAGTTGCTATATTGAAGATTGTAGCAATATGCATGAGGCCAAGATCTGTGTCGAGATTGATTATGTCGTGGTACGTAATGTCGATGGCGGTGCTGTGCATCAAGCTAGTGTTACAAGGATCGATGTTGTTTCATTCTAGTGAGTGCTTTGAATGCTGGCAGTTGCTGCACAATTGGATGTAGTGAATAATGTGTATGCTTGAATAATTTTGTTTAAGCTTACAGTGATCCATGGATTCTTGCTACATCAGGATTGGCATTATGAAAACAACTGATCGGCTAAACTGATCTATATTATTTAAACCAGAATGATTATGCTAACATGTTCTGTTAGATTTGAGAGGCCTTCTTGTTTCTGGGATGTGAATAGATAGAACCATTTCGCGAGCTGGTTTTCAGGATCAATATATTCTATGGACTACAACTGGTGATTCCTATCCCAGCGCCATCATGATCGAAAATACCGGATTCCAAACACAGTTTGTGGGAGCATGTAAATTAAACTAGTCCCACCATTAGAGCGTTCGGGAGTGAAGAAATATGTCGGAGATATCTACCCAAAGAACACATTGAATCCACATATATTTCCACTCCCAACAATGATATAACAAGGAATCAAGGTCAATGCTGTGATTAATGCCCGTTCATGACCACTTTGCAGGACTCACTGTCGCTCTTGTGAAGGAAACTGTCATGTACATTTCCCACTCACTCCGAGTAAGGAATCAATTCTGACACCGACACATGTTTGGCAGAGTAGTGAATAGAAATGCTGGCATTGTGTTCGTTAGTCTAAATTAGAGATGAAAAGACGGTGTGGACGTTTCATCCTAAAGTCGATGCCTAGAGGTATCCATATCACAGATGACAGAATGTGGGGCAGTTCATTGATCGGTCATGTTGGGTTAGGCAGCATTGTTCGATGAAGGAGTTATTATGGATGACTGGACATAATTATGTGACTTGGACTGGTAGTCTGCTGTTTAAAAAAAATGCAACGTCAATGTCAATGTTGAAAGTTTATCAGAGGAGTTTACATGATCGCAAGGTGGATAAGTTACTGTTTGAAAGAGTTTGAAGTAGTGGGATTCTGTGCTGTTTATTGCTATGGAGGTTATGGACTGGTATTGAGCGCCGTCAAATAGCGGGCCTACCGTAAGATTCTGACTATCCTGTGCTGGTTATCCTGAGCTGGGACAAGTGAAAATGTGACAGGGTCAATGTGACTGAATGGACTACAATGGAATGGTGCCTGTCAGTACCGATTGACCAGAGCCATGTGAGTGGCTGGTTGAGTTGGCCAGTTGTGGTGATCCTGTTTTACTTTGAAACAATGTCTCTACGAGGTGCATGCCTGGATGCTGAGGGGGGTTGAGAGCCGCTCCTTTGAGGACCGTTCGCGCCCGTGATGCCAAACTATGATGGCGGAATGCAGAGTACGATGTCTGGACGAAGCGAGTGGGTGTACTATCATGAGCCATGGCGAGCACTCTCATCGTCCTGATCCTCTCCATGTCAGAGCCTAGTTCTCGCTTGCGGCCAAGTTTAGAGATTGTTCCATCCCTAGGATTTCCTTGTGCGGACTCCCGACTAGGGATCAAGTGGCATGCCTGAGCAGTTTGATCGCAGCAGGACTCTGTGGGTACTTCAATCTATCGCCTCTGGCATATGGTTGTGCCATAGGTACATCCGTAATGCATGGGTAGACCACCCAAGTCTGACAGGGAACAATATGCCCAGGGGAACCAAGTGGCATAATCTGTGTTACTGGCAATGAAGAGCGTCCAATGTCGTGACGAGTGCGCTTTCGATCAGACAAGGCCTCAGGCTCGCGGCAGACCAGACACGAGGGTCAACTCAGCCTAGCATTGCACGCGCCCAGCTCATCACACCATTGTCTTGTTCAGAGTCGGACGGTTGGATTCTAGCACACAAGAGCCGCGCATACGTGTCACAACAGAACTTGTGGTGCGTGCCTCGTAGCTACCATTGTATTGATCCGACCGAGCAGGTGTCTTCGTCGCGTGATGAGCCGCATCCAGGCCATCTCGCACACCAGGTGGAGGAAACACCTCGTACGGTCGTAGCGTACTGAGCTCCTCGCGTAGCTAGGTCCTCACTTCTCTGACTTGTTTCTCGAGATGCGAAGAACCGTAGGCTGGGCGTACTGTTCGTCGGATCATTCGATGATTCGGCATAGGCTATCCGTGATGACCGTCTGCGGCAGAACTTCAACTCTGGTATGGGGCAATTCCATCGATCGGTAGCTCAGGTGCACGGATCATGCGTGGTCGGACTATGAGCTGCCTCGTTAGAAACCGGCAAAGCAGTGGGAATAAAGAATGCTCACATCTGCCAACAGGCACGAGGCTGATTGCCTTCTTAGGAGCATGGGTGAGAATTGGCAGCAACAAAGAACGGTGAACGCGCCTACATTGGAGCGACTCGTGTTGCGCTCGTATTCCGGGGTGACTTGTTGCCAAGCACACCCCGCGGGTGGTGGAGGTTCAAAGGGATGAGTCCCGTGACCCAAGCACCAATTCTTGGCCGGCGGCATCAATCCTTTGTTGGGATAAGCAGGCGCACAGACGATGAAGCGTTCGCTAGCCTCACGTCCTTGATTTCGTCCCTGACACCTACCTTGCTATTGCCTTTTGAAGGTAGTCAGCTCCACCAGTAACCCCAGGTCGACGTATCACTCTTGACCAGCAAGCCGTCCAACTGTACACCTGACCGTAATAAGCCGAACCAATATAGCCTGTCAGCAGGGATTCACGGCACACAAGTCCATGGCATCCTTCCACGGGAGGTTGCCGCTTCGGGGAACGAGCGACGGTCAAGACGTGTAGATAGATAGGGAGAGATAGATGGTACGTCAGCTTACGGGCCGACTGCCAACCACATGGATTGGCTTGTTCCGTGTGGCATAATGGGTGATTAATGGGTCATGCTGAGTAGATACTAGGAGTTGGTGTCGGAGTGCCGATTTGTTCTTGGGTTTCACAAATGCCCGCGGTGGTCGGGTGATGTGGCGTTCGCATTGGACACTGCAGGAGTCGAGGTTCAACCACAGTGGAAATTCTTATCTCCCTGAAGATGGGATGTAATCTGTTGTTATTAGGTCAAATAATGTGGGATATATTTCATCCACAGCATTAGTGGTGTAGCGGTAACATTCAACCCTTCCATTGGATTGCGAGGTTGGGCTCTGGGTTCGACTCCCAGCTAATGCATCTGAACATTTCTTTTTGTACATTTTTGTCGACAATTTTTTGCTTCATTGACAAAATGCCAGTCGATAATCCAAATAGCTTCCTTCTCCTGACACCTAGGGCAATTCTGCTAAGGATCAATCGGAATCGAGCCGGACGTGGCCATTTGCGCAATTGGTGGGTGCGGCTACGGTCGTGCACCGGCGGCCCTTGTTACTCCTCACATCCCTTGTCGTTTTATGTAGACATCAACCCCCTGTAATGGCAACGCCTCTCTTCTGTCTAGGCCAGCGCCTCAGAGGCAGAGCCAGTACCTATCGAATTACACAGCAGGTTTCCGAGTTTGTCTATTTTGCAGCGTTTGTACCTCATCCTGGTTCGGCTGGTCGTGGACACTAAGAGGCCTAGAGATCAACGCGACCGCCCTGTCGTCGTAAAGAGCGTCGAAGGACACTGGCGCCTTCACAATGAGCGTGATATCCTCAAGCGCTTTCAATGTCGTGCCCCGAATTTGCGCCTCCTCCTGGACGAGATCCAAGAGCCGGTGGAGCCCCCAGCGATCGTACTCAAGCACCTTCATGATGACCTGACGAGGGCATCGAAGAAACAGAGACTCACCCGGCAAGAGATCAAATTCGTGGCGCAGAATGTGCTACAATCCTTGCAGGTGTTGCATGAGGATGGCTATGTTCATACAGGTACATACCTATATTCTTTCGCTTCTCTCTCCTGACGGCTTAGACATCAAACCGAGCAACATCCTGGTCAACTACGGCAGAGACAGTCGATTCTCAGAGGTGCAATTAGCGGACTGCGGGGGAGTTGTCTCGGTTGATTCGGAATTCGCCAAAGACGGCGTCCTGACTGGAACGAGTCTGTTTCGAGCTCCCGAGGTCCATCTGGAGATGCCATGGGGCACCACCGCCGACATTTGGAGTTTCGGAGTGACGGCAAGTGATCCGACTTTGATTTGTCGTCAGAGCTAACACTCCAATAGCTGATCAACCTCATCTGGGGGTTCAATTTCCACCTGTTCGAGCCGGATGTACCAGAAGGGCACAAGTTGTACGACGTCAAGATTTTGGTGCTGCACCATCAGTGGTTCGGGCCATTCCCCATCTCCTACAAGGAGATTGCCGACCAGGAGGCACAAGAAAATATTGTGCGCATCATGTCTGTTATCCCGCCCGAGAAGCTGAAGCCGTTTCGGTATCTGCGTGAAAGGGAGATAAGCGATGCGGACAAAAGGTTTGTTCTGAAGATCATGCAGCTTGATCCAAGGGATCGCCCTACTGCTACAGAGCTTTTGCAGGATGAGTGGTTCACCGAGCAGTCGGAGAGGACGGTGGGGTGGTATTCCAAGCAGGAGTGGGAGCAGATGAAGCATAGATAGCAGATAAGCCAGCGCCCGAGGAGCGTAAACCATGCAGCCTCACGTGCCCACACTCTGGCGGTGGGCGGTACTTTTGCCCACTGTTTCAACTCTCGGCGAATCAACTCCCGTCTCGCTTAACCGTGCCTGGAAAGGACTAGGCGGATTCTAGCCTGCATCGTCGATTGTCGTCAAGCTGGAGTCGACCACGACGGTGTATTGATCGGCGATTAATTCTGGACGATCAAGTGGTTCTTGAGATGTCTGTCCGTGTGGAATATGAATGCTGGTATCTCCAAAGTACCAGGGTACGGTCCATAGGCCAACGCGACGTACATCTAGACCAAGTTCACAAACAGTATACACAGTACACCGACCGGTGCAAGTGGCGTTGTGATGATAGCGACGGGCCCGCGGCATGGGACGAGCCGAATGGGTCCAGTAGGCCTGAAGAATAACGGGGCACCAAACTGGAGCTCTGGTCAACGGTGGCGTCTCCTTATTGGCGAAAATCTTTCTAGGTGGAGGCGACCACTCCACCCCTGCCGATGGCCAGCAGGGTTTTCATCATTCCCGTTCAACTTTTCCAGATGGCTTGTTTCCCGACGGAAAAGGGGAGGCAATTGCAGGATTCCAGTGGAGGGAATCAGCTAGCCAGGGAAGAAGGATGCAGGGTGAAACAGGGAACACGACGACTGCCAATGCCCGGGGTTTACCTAGTTATATCTAATAGTTTCCTACTAGTTCCCCCAGGTGTGTGATGTGCCAGAGCTATCTACCTCCATTCGACCGATATACCACTAGTCAGCTGAGATGGATGCAAGGGTTGGAGTTCGTGGAGCGCTGGCACTGGAGGGAATAGTATCCGGCGGTCTCCAGGAGAAACTTGTGTCCGACGTGCAGTTCTTCAGGACGAGGTCAGGGCACATGGCGGAATTAGACTCTGGGCAATGACACCGGGTCCGCTGGGGCTGCACCTGCGATTCGCTGGTGGGGGGG